AAGGGAAGAACAACTTATATTTAGGGTTTACGTATTCATTGACATAATTTGTATTCTTAATCTAAAAGTCTAAGTTTTAAAACCTATCTCCACTCTACCTCTTGCAAAATTGCTTCTGTGGGCCATCAGTCTAACCTTTAGTAAGTAGGGAAATAGATAAATTTTTTAGTTTCTCCTTCATAGACAGTCATGCCAGATTTGATGCGGATAGTGTTCTAGTCTCTGAAGACAGAACAGTGATCAAGACCTGTATTGCAGTAGGGGGCATGTAGATACTAAACATGGAAACACATACAGTGGTCATAACTACTACTGAGATGTTTGATGAAGACTGTAAGACAAGACAGTTGATAGAAAGTGATGAGAGAAGGTAGCTTTAGCAAGAAGTCCACTGTGAGAGGCTATCATTAAGACCTATGAGAAAAGGGGCAGAGTCTGGGGGACAGAAGTCCCAAGTAGAAGGAAGGGCAAGTGTAAAGGCCTGTGACAGGAGCGGTGTGTTGTGTGTGAAGACCAGAAGGAAGGTCAGGTGTTGAGTGTAGTTATGAGAATGGGAAAAAAATAGGTCTAGACCAGATCGTGTAGACTCTCTGTAGGTCAGAGAACTTACTTAACTGCTGCTGTGAAACTTTGGAAGAGTTTTGATAGGATGATATGATGTGATCTCAAGTCACTGTTGTGAGGAGGCTGCACCACAGGGGCCAGTCATGGGGATGGGGAAGTGATTTATAAGACCACCCAGGAAAGAGGTGCTGATGTCTTCAGCTAGGAAGTCACCAAACACGCCCAACTGCCTACTTTTGTATAGCTCACAAGTGGGTGTTTATTTCAGTTTTAAATAGTTGGGAAAAGTTAAAAGAAGAATAATGCTTTGTGATACATGAAATGTGTATGAGAGACAAATCTGTTTTTTCTGTCTGTGCTAACTTTTAGAATTATTGATGATAGGAAGAAACTTAGTACACTACCAGTCAGTGGCTTGAGTTTTCCCTAGTACACCACCAGTCAGTGGCTTGGCCGTGGTAGATTTATTGTGATTTTTAAGAGCTTAGGGCTGGTGCTGAAATTTTTGAGCTCTGCCCTCGGCCACTGTTAGCAAGCACAAAATGTCTCTGGAAATTAGCTGATGCTGCAGAGTTGATGCTGTTTCTTAATGAATCAGCCTGAAATGGCAAGACAACACAGGGCTTACCTGCAAAATTTATACTACAGTGAAGTAATTTTGACAACTGATGTTTGAATCACAAATAATGACACGTCCCAGGCTAAAAAATATTAAAATGAGAAGTGATCTGAAGTTTCAGCAGCGTTTTTCAGGTTGCGCAAGATCAAAAGAAAATTTCCATTTTTTAAAAAAAAAAAAAATGTAACTCCACAATTAAGTGTCTTCCTCCTAACCTTTAATTGAAAGAGATTAAACTGCAGTGTAATGTTAGGCTAAAGGCAAATCTTAAGAGAAGAGTCTCAACAAAATTCTGTAAATATTTTCCAAGCAATTAATTTGCTCAATTAAATCATATGCCTGTGAATTGATGTTGGGACTTGGCAGTACCTGTCTGTGGTGAGAAAAAGCATTTCAAACATGAAATAAGTAAAGTCTTGTTAGAGATCAGCATCAACGGATGCATGCTTGCTATTGGCTTTAATGATAGGGAGCACGGATTTTGAGATGCAGTTAATCAAAATTTTATCCCTCAATAAGAGACTTCCATTCTCATTATTAGTCATTATTCTTGCAAAATAGATTGTGCTTAATATATTACTTTGAAAGTTGTAAAAAAAAAGATTTGTAAAAGTTTGTTATCCTTCTGTTGTACAAATAACTATACTACTATGAGTTACTTGCAGTAGCTTCTGCGCTCACGAAACTAAATTGACTTCCTATATGACCTCTCATAGGAACAGTTTGGCAGCCTTTGGTTTAGACGGGGACTGTTAATAGTGGAGATAGTAAGAATGAACTAATTGGACATATATTTAAGAAGGCAGAAAATTGACAGATGAGTCAGATTCTGAGTGTGAAGGGAGCTCAGAATTAAAGGTGAGCATCCGAGTGAACGATGCTTTTATTTCCTGAGAGGGGAGGCTGGTGAGAGAGGACAGGTCCTGGTTTCGGGAAGCTAGTCAGAAATTCCTTTTGAACTTAGTAGACTGATATGTAAGCGTTGATGTCCAGTTAACAATTTACTGTGAGCTTTAATCTCAGGAAAAATGGTAGTTGAAAAAAATTTGATAGCCATAAGCATGTAAGTTATTTCTGATAGCATGGATCTGTGGACCCTTACACTACATATAAAAATAAACTCAAAATAGATTAAAACTAGTCACAAAAAGACAAATTAGTCCATCAATCCACTTAGCCAGAATGGTCACATTAATGGAAATCGACAGGAGAATGGTGGTTACCAGCATCTAGGGAAAAGCAGGAAAGAGGGTTTAGTTAATGTGTGCAGAGTTTCAGATAGCAAGGTGAAACAATTCTTGTCTGTTTGACAGCAGTGTAAATACACTTAACACTATTGATCTGTACACTTAAAATGGTAAATTTTATGTCTGTTGCCACAAAGAAAAAATCTGTTACTTGAACATGACAAGAGCTGAAGCAATTTTTAAAAAGAATAACAAAGTTGGAAGACTTAGACAACCTGCTTTCAAGACTAACTCTGAAAGAGCCCCATCAAGACAGGGTGGTTGACCGTAGGGAGAGCAGGAATCTAAAAACAGAGCTTAGAAATACATCTGGGTACAATGTTTGATTGGGTTTTGGCAACAGTGCTAAGATATTCAATCAGAAAATTTCTTCTTCTTTTTTTAATATTCATACAGAATTGGGATACAGGCCAGTGATGTGAGGGCAGGGGTGGGAGGATTCACTAGAGACAGAATCGGGACCGGAACAGGCAGATGTGCTGAAACACACTGCGGAGGGGAGCAGCAGGGAGACAGGAGAGGCCTGCTGCACCATGTGGGTCAGCTCCCTGGCCGGGGATTGAACTCGTGCTGCAGTGGCTGTGATAGCTTCGTAGTGCTGCGCTTTTAACCCGTTGTGTCACCAGGGAGGGCCCTCAGCTGGAAATTTTCTTAAACAAATGGTCCTGAAACAACTGAATATCCACTTGGGGAAAAAAAAGAGATCAGTGGCAAGAAGAATCTTTTGCAGTGACAGAAGCCTTCTGTATCTTGATTCTGCTGGGATTTTGTTATTAAAACTATCAAAAATTGTTGACTTCTGCTGAGTGCAGATTTTTACATACAGTTATGTGAAGTTTCTTAAGTGGGTATTGAGTGGGTATTCGATGCATTTAATTTGTTGAACAAGCCCCATCGCTTGTCCTGTAGAATTTTCCATTGTTGGGAGTTAGCTAATTGCAATCCCTGGCTATAGTGTAACATGTTCTCCCCCTTTTCTGCCCAATAAATTCTTACTTGGGTCTAGTGGTTCAGTCAGGGTGAGGTGCCGCTACCTTGGGCCAGACTGAGTCGTTAGGTGGTGTGGTGTGTCCTGAGAGGCAGGCCTGTCCAGCCGTCCTCTAACTGTGATGGTCTGCCTTTGCTGCTGGATCTTCTATTACCTGGATTCATTCTTTTTTTTTAAAAGATTTATTTATTTGTGCATACAGAACTGGGGTACAGGCCAGAGGCTCAGGGGTGGCGAAAGACTTCACCAGAGACAGAGTGGGGAACAAAACAGGCAGATCGACGAAGTACACTGCTGAGGGGAGCAGCAGGCGGGTCAGGAGAGGTCTGCCACGCCATGTGGTCACCTCCGGGGCTGGTAGGGATTGAACTCATGCAGAAGCGGCTTTAGCTTCTTAGTGCTGTGCTTTAACCCGCTGCGCCACCAGGGAGGGCCCTGGATTCATTCTTTAAAGAGAAATTCTACTTCAGCTACTTCTTGGGATGTCGGAAGGACCGTTTGCATAGAAAAGGAGACAAACGCTTTTCTTTATGGTTCTCAAAATAGAGTTGGTTTTTTATCATTCTTGAAAAGTGACCAAATGAGGGTGTTTTGGTTTTTATCTGTTTTGAATTTTAGACTTCAACTCAATTGATAGCTTTATTCTGTTGGAGTTCTCATCCTTACTGTTGGTCAGAGTTCCTTTAAGTTGGCCCCTGAGTCCTTTCACAGTCTTTGATAACTCCCTTGCTTTCTGATGTGACAAGACAGAGCAACCTCATTTCTGTCCGAGACCCAGAATCAGCCATTTTCCCAAGAAGCATTGAGGAGCAAATGGTATTTATAGAAAACCACTGGGGTGCTGGGTATGTTTGATGCCACGAGGCCTTTTCAGCATTTCTGCGGCAGATTCAGAAAGTGTGTCACCACTGCTGTCTCTCCAGAATCCAGTAACCACACTTTGCCATCATAAGTTTCTCTGAAGAACTTGGCAATTAGGATGTGTCCTTTTTTGGTAGGACATACCGAAGTGTCTGTACATCTTCATCCTTTTGTTCTTTAATTGAAGTCCAGGTTTTACCTTCCCCCAATTCTTTAGATCATCAAAAAATTCTTCTAGTCCTTTCCTTGGTAAAGCGTTGTATAGTAATATATGCTGGTGGAAAGATGTAACTTACTGATTTTAAGGTAGCAATGTAAGAAGAAACCTGCCACCTGTATCTGACCCAATGGGTTTTTAACAACCTGGACACTTTCTGGGTGACTGAGAGTCTTCTACCAAGAACATTAGACCGTACTGTTTACTTCCTGTCTCTATGAATTTGCCTGCTCCTGACATTTCATATTAAATGGGATCATTTAACATGTGGGCCTTTGTGACTGACTTCCATGTAGTATGCGTTGGCAAATTCCTTTTTACGGCTAAGTAATATTCCTTTATGACTACGAATGTGCCATAGTTGTATATTCATTCATTCATTCATTCATTGTGGATGGACATTTGGGATATTTGGCCTTGGGGAATATTGCTGCCTTGAAAATTCATGCACATATTTTGGTGTGGATTATGCATTCATTTTACCTTTTTTTTTTTTTTCCCCAGTGTCTTTCCCGAGAAGCAGGTGGAAGCATGAACATTCAGTTTCTTGGTACAGTGGTAAGTAAGAAAGAATGACTACTTTATTCTCTTTATTTACAGAGAAAAAAGGCAAAGGCCTGCTTTAGCCTCATGTTTGAATCTGTTTTCATGATGGTTTTATTTTGCTATTAAATGAGAAATTTTTGTATGAGAAAAGGGTTCTTTACTATGTTAGAGAAATTTCCACGATAGAATAATTTTAGTTTCTTCTTAATACCAAAGATAATAGTCTTTAAAAAAATGTATGTGTGGTTTGTTGAGTGTTTTAAGAACTTTTTTCAACCGGAGATTTTCTCTCTGTTCTTACAAGAAAAATAAGAACATGTTATATAATGATGTTTTTGAAAAGCATGAGCTTGATTTTTTTTTTTTTAAAGATTTACAAGATTTATTTATTTGTACAGAACTGGGGTACAGGCCAGAGATGCGGAGGGTGAAAGGATTCACCAGAGACAGAGTGGGGAGCAGAACAGGCAGATCGACGAAGTCCACTGCTGAGGGGAGCAGCGGGCGGGTCAGGAGAGGTCTGCCGCGCCATGTGGTCACCTCCAGGACAGGCGGGGATCGAATTCATGCTGAAGTGGCTTTAGCTTCTCAGTGCAGTGCTTTAACCCGCTGCACCACCAGGGAGGGCCAGAGCTTGATTTTTTAATTAGTTTTTTTAATTTTCCTTCTAGCTTTCCTTTTTAGTTCTTTCAGACCTATGTTTATAATGAAATTGAATCATAATTCTATGTCTTAGTTTTTTCCACTTAAGATCTTATTAATTTTTTTCCATATTGATGTAAAACATTTGTAAGCATCATTTTTAACGGAGGTATAGTTAACATTCTGGTGAGGAGATTTATTATGGTTTATTTATCCATGATGAATCTCACTCTTAGTCCTTGGGGTACTAGTGAAGAACCTCGTGCGTTCTATATTTTTGATATTTGGGTTATTTTTAAACATGGGCAGGATTTTAAAAAATACATATAAGATGCATTTCTTCATCAGTAAAGTCAACACCATGAATCATTAATGGTGCCTTTCAGTACAAAGCCACCCCCATGTGTTCTACTACTTTGTGCTCTGTCTGTAATTTAGCTGTAATTTTCAGAGGTATTTAACTCTAGCTGGTGAAAAAAGATTTACTTAATATTCATTGTTGTTTATACTTACAAGTTTATAATTATATTAGTGATAATAGTTACTTTAATTTTCAAAAAAACTGTTGAAAAGGTAAGTTACTGTTTTAATTAGCATCTCTGTTTATTGCTATTGTATTTGGATGTGTTCACGTGCTAGGTGTCATTTCTAATCTGGGAGCTGTATGCCTGTCCCTGTGCTGCGCACTGGGTGTTTCCGAGGGCTGAGAGAGCTTCAGGAAACTGTCAGGACAGGCCTGTGGCTTGGGTCCAGTGGAGAGATGTTGCAGCCACTGAGGCAGCTTCACTGTCCGTGAGTGCGTTTATCCAGACCTGTGCAGTGTCTTGTGCACTGGGACAGGAGGCTCGCACAGTGGGGACATAGGTTACAGTTAGGTACGTCCTCTCCTGAGATGTGCGCTTACTCTTATTTTTCTGATTAATAGTATTCTATGCTTATTTTTAAAAAATTAAGCCCGGCAATGTATATCATAAAATGATTAGAATTCTCAGAGAAACCACCGCCAGTATGTGTACGTATGTGTGTGTGTCCCTGTGTCTGTGTTCGTGCATGCATCTATTTAGAGAGACAGACGGGAAGGCCAGTGCAGGCCAGTGAAGAGAAAGCTTGTTACTGTACGTGACTGGTTCATGGATTTGTGGCAGTAAATACTGAATCTACAGGGTGGACCAGGGAAGAGTCAGTGCAAGTCCAGAGTGTGCATGCAGAACTCTGGGCCTTCTTTTCTGCCAACTGATTAGACGAGACTCACCGACTTTAGGGTAGTCTTAACTAAAGGCTGCTCATTTGAATGTTAAATTCATCTAAAAATAGGGGGCCTCCGTGGTGGCACAGGCGTTAACCCTATCAAGCTGTCGCCAGCCACAGAGCACGGGTTTGATCCCCGGCCAGGGAACTGATCCCCATGGCGAAGCAGACCTCTCCTGTCCCCCCGCTGCTCTGCTCAGCAGTGTATTTCAGTACATCCACCTGTTCTGCTCCCCAGCCTGTCTCTGGCGAATCCTCTCATGGCCCCCGCACCTCTATCCTCCACCCTAGCTCTTGTACGCATAGATAAATAGATAAAAATAAATCTTAAAAAAAAATCATCTAAAAATGTCTTCATAGGGCATCTAGAATAATAATCAGGTATCTGGGCCTCGACAAACTGACACACAAATTCGCCTTAGTAGATGTGAACCTCTTGTCCCCTAAAGATAGGAGTCCTGTCACCACACTCTTCCTGAAATAGAATGGCTCACCGTCTCATGCACCATCAGCGGTCTCTCCGAGTCGGTGCTTAAGGCCCGTCGTTCTTTTTAATGGCACCGAGAATCACGTGCGGGTATTTCTCTCGTTCTGTGCTGTGTGAGCAGGAAAGGGCATTTCTGCCACCTCTGCCCCCGGGTGGCTCTCCTGGGGCTTTAACAGGTGATTCTCAACAGTCATGTATTATAGGAAACTGAGCTCCTGATAGACGCCACAGAAAAACAAAAATATTTCTTCAGTAATTTTTCCTGTCTTGGAAGATGGGCCCCACCTTGTTCCGCTGGTTCCTCTCCTGCCGCTCCTCCTGTACAGGACGAGCGAAATGGCGTGTGGAGAGGTGACTGCTGTGGCTCTGACTCGGAAGCGCTTGCTTGACTTGGGTGTAGCGGCTCCTTCAGCACTGCCCCTTGACAGCGGTCATCGGTGCTGATGGGGAAGTTAGAACTCTGGGGCTTCCTGGGGCCGCCAGCACCAGTGCCCGCGCTGGCTGGCCTCCAGCAGGAGACCAGAGATCTGAAGTGCAGGGTGTGGGCAGCGTTGGCTCCTGGGGACGTCATGCCTTGCTCTTAGCTTCCAGGCGCTTCGGGCCACACTGGTTGTTCTTGACCCGCCAGCTCTACCCCTCCGTTCTCTGCGTCCATCCTCACATGACTCTGCCCTGTGCCTGTGTGTTTTCATTCACGGGAGCCCCAGGCCCCAGGGGTTGGATTTAGGGCTCACCTTTATATGCCTAGACCACATCTTAACTAATGTCATGTACAGAGAGCCTGTCTCCAAGTAAGGCTCATTTGGAAATCCCCAGTGAAAGCGAGCTGCGAGGATGACACCGTTAGACCAGTGCATATGCTTGAGGGCGTGAAAACATATTTGGGGTGTAGGGAAAGCTTGAAGAGCAGCTCAGGCGGTTTACCTGAAAGCAGAATGTGCCATGTCCTCCACAAACAGCCGTGTCGGGCTAATCCTAAATAGAGCACCACCATATGTCCTTCCAAGTATTTTCATAACGGTTACCATCACCCATGTCCTGCCTAGCCAAGCAACTGAAAGATTGGTGAGAGTGTACCTCATTTTCAGAAAAAAATGCGAGCACGGAGAGAGTACTAAGAATTGGGGGGACCAGGATGCACAACCAGGTCTCTTGGCTTTCCATGGCGCCATCAGAGGGCCTTGCAAGCATCGTTTTGCTGAGCAGTTCTCGCAGTAACACCTCAGGCAGCTATGACAGAGACTAGACTGACAGGCGTAAAAAAGAGACACTTCTGAGTCTCTTTCTCAGAGTTTTGAGGCTGAGCAGTTAAAGATTGAGGCACCAGCTGGGCCCTTGTCCTGCCCTGTGGCTGTAGCCTCCAAAAGGAGAGAAGCCAGAGGGAGCGAGAGGGAGGGAGGGAGGGGCGGGGGAGGGAGGAAGGGGAAGATGGAGGCCTTACAAGCTTACTGCCGCCATCATCAGGCCCCTCCATGAGACCTCGAGAACCTGTCTGAACCTGTTTCCCCAAGACCCCAGCCCCTCAAGCTGTAACACAGGCATTTAGTCCATCACACACACTTAGCTGGTAAGCTACTTTCTAGCATGTTCCTAGGCTCTCTGGGTCTATCGCAAATGGAAGTTGTCCGCATTCTGTTCGTTTGTGTGGCTATTTTTGGTGAAGCTGTGAGTTTGTGAGCATCAGACAGTACGGGGCACAAAGAAATAGAAGAGGCCCTTAACCAGAATTTCCTATTTGACCTTTGTGTCACAATAAAGATGAAAATTTTATTACTCCTTGAGAAGACAGAAGTCCGTTCCCAGTTTTGGTACTGTGTTCGTTATTTATATTTAGTTTTTAAAGTACCACAATATTAAGGCAAACGTAACTCAGCAACACTGCATTTTTCTTTCTTGTAAAGACAATGCATGTTGCCCAAAAGAGGAAATAAGCTTCGACTGTACCCAACAGCTTCTTCATAGCTGTGCAGCTGGCGTTCACCCAAGGACTCTCGAGGAACTATCAAATTATATGTCTTTGATGCTTAGCCAGAGATCTTAATGAAACCAAATCATACTGAAGTTCTTAAACTAATTTAAATCTCAAATTGTACATTTTAAATTAAGTTTTTATTGATAATAAATATACTTTATTTCTTATTAGCCTTGAAAGCTTGAGTGATAATATCAGTGGAATAAACATGTTTTACAAAGATTTACCATTAAGAGTGATATTAATATGACCCTCGATGCACGAGCACAATTAGATTTCAGAGTAAGCATTTACGAAGTAACAGCGATTAATGACAACCATCGAAAACAATTTTGAACTCCATCAGTTTAACTCAGGAGGGTAAACTTAATATGATAATTCATCTAGTTGAATGGTATCAGCTTAGCAGGAAAGTATGTAAATATGTGACCCTCACCTAGCTTCTAAATGGATGCTGTGCTGATAGATTTATCAGTTCCATTAAAGAACTTTGGGGAACTTTGGAATTTCAGCAATTGTTCCCTTGGAGGCTGAAAACCCAACCTGATCTCATACTGGGACCATTCTGGTCTGCATATTTCCATAATTTGCCTTCGCTACTAATATGACAGCAAGACACAAGTAACTGTTTCTAATAATATCAGATGGAGTTGTGGAGGACAG